TCTGCTGGTCACTCCCGACTTTAGCATCCCTTGGTGTCCGGTCGCGACCTAAAGGCGGCCACTTGTAGGCGCCTTATGGATCGCCGGCGAACACACCCTCCCTCCACCCGGCCTATATGGCGGCGTGCCCACAGAGGGGACTCGGTGCGCCACCACCAGCGTGCCATGGGATTAGCCATCCCTCACTTTTATATAGTGATCCTTTAATGTTGGGTAGGGTTAATTCTGTTTTGGAGTTAGTAGTAGTGTAGGGGTTAGAGTTACTGTAGCATTGTTAACTACCAAAAATTAAGGTAGATCTTAGACATAACAATCAGGATTGATATGCAAATCTATTTTAAGTTCTTTATAGTTCATTGCACTTGATATGTAAAAGTTATTAAAAGCAAAAATGTAATCAGATGTTTTCTTCTAATTTTTTCCAGTTTGAAATTGATTCACATTTAATTTTGTGTTAGTTTGTTAGTTGCACATATAGACTATGGGGGTACTTAAAGAGAAACCCTTAAATTATGGTGGAACAAACACAAATTCCATGTTTCGTTTTGGTTCAGAAGTTGGACAATTGCATTCATTCTTAAGAGAAAGCAATAAATTATTTTGGAACAAACATATGGCATAAGTTCCAAAAAGACATCTGTCCAAAATATATGTAATCCCAAATAACCCTTGGACAAAGGGATATCAAAATGTTTGTCAAAATAAAAAAATAAAAAATCTGTATTTCAAATGTTAACCCTTTAAATGGCAGGGATTTTACCTTCACATTTGAAAACAATGTGTGACATGTCTGGCACTGAAAGCGTTATAAACAGATAGCAAATAATGTATTACTCGGTATGCAGGAAACAGCTTTGTTTAATGAATTACGCTATTCAGGCTCTAATATAATAAATTATGCTAACACATGACATGACATTTGCCACAACAGAAGAAAAACTGCCTAAAAGACTTGAGGATGCAAGACCAGGGCTACCACCAGAAATTTTGGGGCCCCTGACAAAGCACAAGGTCTGGGCTCCCACACCTCCCTCCCCCTGCCCGGCATGCCCACAGGACTCCTACCTAGTCCGCTGCAAAGGATGCAGGACTGAATGTGGTGTGTATAGTGGAAGTGAATTAGAATGTGTGTAATGGATGTAGTGTTTGTGTGTATTAGATACTGTTTGTGCAGTGAATGCAGAGTGTGTGCTTGTGTAGCAGATGCAGTGTGTAGAGTGTAGAGTGAACGCAGAGTGTGTTTGAGTAGTGGATGTAGTGTGTGTTTGTGTAGTGGATGTAGTGTTTGTGTGTACTAGATGCAATGTGTTTAGTGGATGCAGTGTCTGTAGTGGATGTAGTGTGTGTATTAGACGCAGTGTCTCTGTAGTGAATGCAGAGTGTTTGAATATGTGGTGGATGTAGTGTGTGTACTGTGAAAACAGGATGTTTGTGTAGTGGATCTTGTGTGTATAGTTAATACAGAGTGTGTGTCAATGTAGTGAATGCAGAGTGTGTGTCAGTGTAATGAATGCAGAGTGTGTGTCAGTGTAGTGGATGCAGAGTGTGTGTGTATTAGTGTAGTGTATGCAGAGTGTGTGTGTTATTGTAGTGAATACAGAGTGTGTGTTAGTGTAGTGAATGTAGAGTGTGTGTTAGTGTAGTGTATGCAGAGTGTGTTTGTTAGTGTAGTGAATGCAGAGTGTGTGTTAGTGTAGTGAGTGCAGTGTGTGTGTTAGTGTAGTGAGTGCAGTGTGTGTGTCAGTGTAGTGAATGCAGTGTGTGTGTCAGTGTAATGAATGCAGTGTGTGTCAGTGTAATGAATGCAGTGTGTGTCAGTGTAATGAATGCAGTGTGTGTGTGTTAGTGTAGTGAATGCAGTGTGTGTGTTAGTGTAGTGTAAATGGAGCATTCCAAAAATGTTATTCCCCCTCCCTGGTTCTTACTTGGTCCAGGGAGAGGGGGAGATTCCATTCCCTGGTGGTCTGGTGGCATTGTGGGGCCCCCTGGCTCATTATACTTGCAGAGGGGGCCCAGCAGACTGCAAGTGTACTTACAAGCTCTTCCCTCTCTCTAACTCCCGCGAGTGCGGCGTGCGTGCTGCGCAGAGCGTTGCCATGGTAACCCGTGGCAACGCTCTGATGGCCGCACATCTCGCAGGAGTTAGAGGGAGGGAAGAGCTAGTTAGTACACTTGCAGTCTGCTGGGCCCCCTCTGCAAGTATAGGGAGCCGGGGGCCCGCAGCTGCACACATAGATAGCGATATTCGCTATCTATGTGTGCAGAGAGGCAATGTGGGGCCCGGGTCTGCCAAAGCAGTACGGGCCCCCCAGGATCACCGGGTCCGTGACAACCATCATCGTTGTCACCCCCTGATGGCGGCCCTGTGCAAGACCATAATGATCTATTCATGGAAACATGGTCTTGCAGCATGGATAGTCTAGCAGCATGATTGAACAGAAAACAAACACTGCTGGAATTTGGAGCACATTATTAGCAGACACACAGTGCCGGTATAGGGGGACACAAACAGTAGACACATTACATGTACTAGGGGAAACATTAGCAGGAGTCATTTAAGTGATATTATTGGTGGACAAATGATCAAAAGACAATCAGTGCTGTTACTGAAAGACACATTATCGGAATATACCAGTACTGGCATTAGCGAACACGTTATCAGCAGACCTCCAGTATTGGCATTGGGGGACACATTGTCAGCAGACAAACAGTTCTGGTAATGGAGAACACGCAGTTTTTATTATGATGTTTGTTTAATCAGACAAAAATATACTTTGTTTGACATGTTATATGCAGGGAATACATTATTTTACATGGACCAAACACACACGTAAATCTATCCACTCTTGAATATTCACCCCATGTAGTTAGTGCAAGTTTCAATAAGGGTATCTACCGGGTATATTGAGATAATATACATAAATATCTAGTGGTAAATACTTCTATCACTGCAGTTGGATTACCAACATGTTAGCTAATTAACACAAATGATAAGTGAGAGAGATATTATATCCTACATTATATTTACTACACTATAAACTTTACAAGGAAGGTTTAAGCTGAAACTGGAGAAAAGTAATCAACAATTGCTGTCTTTGCAAAATAGGTAATTTGGTCTAATTATGTAAATATAATTGCAAATTCTCTGCAATTCTCAGTTTAGATAATATGTGAGATGATTTCACACACAATATCCTGTTCTTTAGATGCACACATTACTTGTTTGTCTTGGAAGAATCCCAGCATTACTAGAGTAATAACTTCCTGTAAATACTACTGGTACGGCATATGATTTACGTGGAACTATGATTCCATAAAAAGCTCTGTCGTATTCCTGTAAATCTTCTAGTCAATCCTTATCATGATTCGGAAGGAAAAACAAACAATCTCAAATGGTGTATGTTAGACACGTTCTACTATGCAATATATATGAATCCTGTAGAAAGGTATTGTGGCAAGTATGCAGAGGCAAGGCTTTGTAACTGTAAGGGGGTTACTCAATAATAACTCTTAAAATAAGCTAATCTAAAATCAATTGATGTATGTTAGACCAAGGGAGCTCAAAGGGTAGATCACCAGATGTTGAAGAACTACAACTTCCATGAAGCTGTGCATGCTTTTAGCATGTGAAAGCATCATGGGAGCTGTAGTTTTAAAATATCTGGGGATCTACCTTTTGGGCACCCCGCCTTAGAAAACGCTTTACAAATATTTGTATTCCAGTCTCATGTATATATATATACCATGTGTTTGTAATTTGCTTTTCTATACAATGTGCAGCTAGCCCAATAAAATTAACCTACTTTATGTATCAGGGATCTGACAACAAAAAATAACAGAACTACAGTTATTAACTAGACTTAGGCCAGTTTTTATACACTGAATACAAAACAGCAGGAGTCTGACGACTAAATGCAGTAAGAGAGCCAAAAGGTCAAAAGCAAAGCATGGCTTTCCCTAAACATGTGTAGAAACACAAAACAATTTACTAAATAGTTGAGATTACTTTGTGTGCCAAAAACCAGGAGAAACAAATGTGCTGATTATCACACATACCAAAGCAAACATAATAAACATGCAATAATCAATTTGATATTTAAGAGTTGATAACTTTATAACAGCAGCAGAGGGCTCGTTATTTTGCTTTTATTTATTTTATCTGACCACACAAGCAACAAGCATGATGAGCAAAACACCAGAAGAAGAAAAAAAAAACATGCAAAACGTGCAATTAATTAACGATTAATTTTGCTACCACTGCGGACTAGTATAACATGTATTCAAAGCATACTTTTTTATTTTTCTATCTATAACTGATTTTTGTCTAAATGACTATACCATTGGTATAAATGCACAGTAAAGTACAACTTCCATAATGCAATACCACATATAGTACTATGGGGGACATGCTAAATGTTCCAAGACATTTTATTGGTTTCCATGGCCCCTTATTTAGCACTTTAAAAGAATAATCCCTTTTTTTTTGCATCTATAATTCTCGTTCCCTAATGTGACCCTTTATCTGGTAAAATTACCTTATTGCTGCCTACATACAGCCCAAGAGAATTGTACATTAACCCTTTAACCCCTTAAGGACCAAACTTCTGGAATAAAAGGGAATCATGACATGTCACACATGTCATGTGTCCTTAAGGGGTTAAGGAATATATGTTACTATTTGCTGTTATGACAATCCTGAAGATTTAAGGAAATCCTACTTGGGAATTTGTAGCTAAATTATACATTGTCACTGGTCATTGTTAATTGATTTTGGCATTCCTTAGAAAACGAAAGCCAGTTAGTTCTAATGGCATAGATGGCCATTGGTCCTTAAAGGGCTAATGTGCATGCATTCAAACCATATCCGCACGGATAGGAGCAGCTAGCGCCCGTGCCGTGGGTAGGCAGTTCAACCCCTAGACAAGTAAGACACGTTGATTTGGAACGTCTAATGCAATCCAGAACGCTGCCGTTTTTAAACAATGTAACTTACCTCCCTTGTCAAGTTTTACGCCTTCAGCCTGCAGCTTCCATATCAGCATCAATGCTAGTACAAGAACTGTGTGTCCCATGTAATGGGGCAGGGCCATCAGAGTCCACGGCCACGCTTCTTACCTGTGTGCACCCACGGTGCCCACCACAAGTTCAACTACACGTACGCGTGGGGCTCACATCCGACTGAGCATAAAATCCACGGGGACACTCTGCCTGAGCATTCCGTCTGCGGCTATAGCAAGCCATGGACACTTAAGGGTGGAGGGAAGCACGCTTATACTTTCACTTTCATTTCTTCATTAGTGAGCGCACTGCTATAACATAGATACACTGTTTACACCAAACAGGGGCCAGGAGAGGTTAGCAGTGCCACACATGGAAACAAACATTCAGGTCATTATATTAGCATTGCTAAGACGAAGACGATTAACTGCTCGATCTATTAACTATTTGCTTAGCTGCCACAACATGGTATATACACTGCCATAACTTTGTACCTTGCACCACTGACACAGGGTACAGATGCATGTATAGCAAACAACTCAGATTTCAGTCACAAGAACCAGGGCATGTAGTTACTGGGCAGAAGCCAGAAAGTATGACGTTTGTTCATTTTCAGGGTATTATGGTGGCCCTAGGGGATATCTGGTTGGAGTAGGGTAAAGGGTTAAAGTGGTGAGAATGTGTTGATAGCTGAAGAATTTGGGACACTAATGGGGGGCTTGTTTGGCAGGTGAATTGTGGAAGAAGGGTTTAATTTAAGGTGGGTAGAAAAATGTAGGGAAGTGTAGGCAGCGGCATACACATAAATCATGTAGGTATAGGAGCACAAAGGGTGCTAAAGTGAAACCAGAGTGTGGAGAACTAATAATTTTATAGCAAGATAGGAGGCGAGTATTATGCATTACCTTTCTCTACTTAAAGCAGCACTGTTATGAATCCCGTTTTGTTTAAACCACACTCCTGACTCCACTACATCTAACTGACCCCTTAGTCACCCCTATGCCCCCCATATTACCTAATTTTTTACTTTATTTTCTGCCCCGGCCTATATTCAGGGCCCACACTAGATAGCACTGTGAGATTCCCGCACATGCCCAGTGAAACACTTGGGCATGCGAACAGGAATTTAATCTATTCATTCATTCGTCAAAAAGACGAATAAATGAATAGAAATTTCAGACGAGCAAACAAACACTGAATATCAGTGTTCGTTTGTTCGTTCAGTTTATTACAAGGAGGGAGCTACCGGCTCGCAGCTCCCTCCTTGTAAAATGTAAAGATAGAAGCGGCAGGGAACAGAGCTCCCTGCCACTTCCTAAGCCCCTCTATGTCCTCCCTCACTCTATGGGGGTCAATATGACCCCCACAATAGCATAAGGGAGATTAAAATTGCGCGGCGGGTGGGGGCCCTAAATAAGAATTTGGGGGGGACCTACTGTTCTCCCCCTCAGCCCCTACCCCTGCGCGTCGGGTGGGGGCCATAAATCACAATGGGGTGGGGGGGACCTACTGTCCTCCCCCCTGGCCCTACCCCTGCGCGGCAGGTGGGGGCCATAAATCACAATGGGGGGAGCTACTTTCCTCCCCCTCGACCCCCACCCCTGAGCGATGTGTGGTGGCCATAAATCACAATGGGGTGGGGGGGACCTACTGTCCTCCCCCTCCCCCTCTTCCTCCTTGAGCCGAACTAACGAAAGCGTACGAATGAATGTGCCATTCGTATCACTAGTTCAGCTTGTTGAATTACAGACAGGCAGTGTACTATGTGTGTATTGAAATACGTATTGCAATGCAAACTGCCGAACGAGTAACGTTCATACACAGAATGAACAAATCATTTGTTCATTCGTATAAACTGTTCGTGATTTTTCAATGCATTCCTTTAGCATATGGGGATGGTAGAAACTAATAAACAAACAAACTAATTTTCTTCAATTCGTGTATTCGTTCATTCGGATGCCTTGTATGAAACAAAGAGGAGGGGTATGGGAGTGAGCTGATTTTCCTTTATCCAATCAGCTCACTCCTGTGACATGATGCTGTAGGGGCTTATCCAATGGTGAGTGCTTTAGTTGGGATTTAAAAATTAACTAAACAGCAGTATAAAAGCAGGCAGAGGATCTTTCTCTGCCCTTCTTTGATTGAGTTTTGTTGGTGAAACACTGTGCTTCTGTACTGTGCTAGTCTCGTTGCTTTCTTAGAGATTTTCTGTGAGTCTTGGTGTGCCTGCCATTTCTCACTTGTGGTCCTGAGGGCGTCTGCCCTAGGGGTAGACTAGCTTGTTAGCCTAGAAGAAACTAAACATCGTTTAGCTGATAGATCTTTTTAGCATTTTAAGTTAAAAAACTAGCAAAGCCACATTATTTGAATTTTTGTTAGACATTGATTTTACAGAGGTGCTGCTGTTACTGCAGTGCTGTTTCATTCTGAGTGCTGATAGAAAAGTTAATTTTCTGTCAGTCTCAGCTGTGTTTGACTGTGTTTTTAATTTTCTTTTTTAAGTGACTCCAGTCCACACAAAGTTAGTTTAATCTGTGCTAGTAAAAAAACTGCTATCACAGAGTCACAGTGACTGACCGACTGATATCTGGGCTGTCAAAGTTAGAGCAGACTTTTACTGCTCCATGCTTGTGAATTGATTGGTCAATTATTTTATATTTTTATGCTTGTGTCACAGATTTACACTATAGCTAGATTTAATTTGATTATTTTGCTTTTGTGTTCGTTTTGGAAATTCTAGATTTTGCAAATATTTGGCTATTTCAGATTTTTGGGGATGATTGCTTAAATTATATAAATCTTCATAATAATTGTTAAATGCCTTTTCTATACTTTCAGGAGATAATAAAGTTTTGTTATTGACTATCAGTTTAGATGTCTTGGATTTTAATATTGTTTTTTAAGTCTATCGGATAATAATTTATCCGCTATATTACCTTTAGTGTAATATTTGATTTTCATTTTCTTCATTGCGTAAATCAATTTTAATGTAGAGTTAATTTGTTCTTGTATTTTTAACATATCTGAATAAATTTGTTTTGATGGATATTTTTTATTTTCATTAGAAAGATTTGAAAAAGTTATATATAAATCAGCCATTTTTTTTTTAAGTTCTTGGTCTAGCTTTATTAAATGATCTTAATGGTCTTAAAAGCACACCAATTGTTAGCTATCGATGTGTCTTGTGGATTATTTTCTTTAAAATATAAATTAATTACATTTGAAGTATATTCTTTATTTTCTTTTGAATTATGCAGATATTCATCTAATCTCCAGGGAATTTTCTGAAATCAGGCATAAGTATACTGTGATCTGACCATGTGTTATTTGAAATATTTATTTTAGAAATTCTGTTTAGTAAAGATTGGTTTCCACAAATCAAATCGATCCTAGAGTATGACATATGTACTCTAGAGAGATGAGTAAAATATTTCCCCCGGATGGAACATTCTTCAGGTATCAGACACATCAAATGTATTTAGAGTATTGGTCAGCATCATAGCTTGTTTTTTTGTTGTTTTATTATTATATATTGGGATAGATTTTAAAAATGTCTTATCTAAATCTACATCTAAGACACAGTTGAAAACTCCTGCTACTATAAGCAGACCTTTCTTAACCTTATTAGCCATATCCAATATTTTCTTTAGAAGACCAACTGGAGAAACATTAGGAAGGTATACATTAACCAATGTATATACTTCTTAATTAAATTTGCAAACTATTATCATGTATCGTCCCCTAGGGTCTAAAATCTGATGAATGAGTTTCAAATGTATTGATTTTGCCACTAAAATAGCTACTCCTCTTTGTTTTTGTTTTTTTTAAATTCTTTATTTTTGTAGTTCAAGTGAATACAAAGAAGCGTGCAGTACCATGACCATTTCTGCAGTCCAATCAATCATTTACAAACATTAACATTGGTATGGCATACTGTATGGTAACTTTGCATAGTTTTTGGGTAAATAAGATTCCTAAGGTACACATGTGGACGAGTTGAATCAAGCATGTCTAGCTAGTAAGCATGTGTACATTCCACCCCTTCTGATCCTAGCTGATTAGGGGTGTGCCAGTGTAGATGGTGAGGGTATGCAATAAGGGGCATGTCATTATATGTCCATCTATTGTGGAACAGGGTGATGATTCGTTGGTGCTCTTAAATAAGGGCTTGTGTGCTTGCTTGGGGGGGTCAAAAGAAGTGTGATTCCTAAACCCTGCTGCTATGATGGTGTGCGGCCTGTGTCTATTAAACGGCTTTCTTGAGGGTTTGGTGCGTGCTTGGGAGTATAATCAGGCTGGTAAAACCAGTTCTGGCTGATATTGAAGGCATCCCTGCCAGTGAAGAGAGCCCCAGGGGTTTTCTGTGCCTTCACATGTGGGGTGTTGCTGTGCCTTTTATGTTGAGAGGCCCTCGTACCCAAGTACATCGGCTTCAGGGTCCCTGACAGTGTGCGGGGGGTGGCACTAGTACCCTAGTTCAGAGTAGCAGAATAGCAGCTAGACTGTTATGGATGTCAAGAGTAGGAACTCATCCTATGCGTAAACGCTTGTGCATGATGTCTCAGGCTTTTATAGTGTTCCCCTGTTCTGGGGGTGAAGCGTGTCCTTTGATGTCGAGTAAGTGATAGTGTCAGGAGCATTATATGAAATCTGGGATTTAACCTTCAGTAATAAGAAAATAAAATAAAAAGTAAATTAAACAAGGCTGCGTGTGAAGCCGTCTAGAGAGCAATACTAAACATAAAGGTAAAACGTGAAACAATATTAACGTTAAACTTGTGAAGGTACGTGTATGCGAGCACATTCAGGTTACTGAGTCCCGTTCCCCTCCGGGAATGAAATGAGTGATCCGGTCTACATCCCATATTCGTCGTGACGTTGCTGGGTCTGGCGCCGGGAGGCCTAGTGCTTGCAGAAGTTTCAGCCCCTCCGATGGGTTTGCAGCTTTGTGGGTCTTTCCTTCTTTGGTGCACACCAGCGATCTTGGGTTAGTCCATCTGTAGGGTATGCCGGCTGTCAGTAAGGGCTGCGTGATGGGGCGCATTGATTTTCGCCACATTAGGGTGGACTTGCTAAGATCTTGGTAAAATGTAAGGGAGTAAGTTTCGAAAAGAAATGGGGTTTTCCCCCGCAGCGCCTGTAGCAGCCTTTGTTTGTCTGCATGGGACCAACAGCAGTGTATGATGTCCCTGGGGACGTTGTTCAGTGTTTGTGAGAAAGTTGCAATGCGGTATAGTCCATCATAGTCAAACTGTTTAGCGTGTTTGGCTGGAAGGAGAGATGCAATAAGTCGCCTGATGAGATGTGGTAATTCGTCCGCGGGGACGGAGTCGTCCACACTCCGGATTTTGACATTCTTTTGTCGGCTCCTATCTTCTAGGGTATCCATTCTGGCAGCTAGTAGGGAGTGGGTCTCTTGCAGGTTATGTATTGATTCGTCATGCTTTGCCTCAGGTCATCAGTGTCCTCCTCAGATGCTTGGAGGCGTTCTGTGACTGCTTTCAATTCAGTTTTGACCATGTTGATTTCTGCAAAGAACATGTCCTGGAAGTGTGCCAGTAAGTCGTGGATGTCCTGCCTTGTAACAGGTTTGTCTGTCACAGGTTTCTCTGCACCATGTGTTGTTTGGGCTTCGTCTGTGTGTGTTTTCTCTCCTACCACCCTGGGAGCTGTCTCAGGCTGGCGTGGCAATGGCTCCTGGGTGCGTGGAGTTGATGACAGCATCTGTCCAATATCATGATTTGAGGCGGTTGCTGCCGCTGCCTGTTTCTGAGATCTGCAGCCCTTCATGGTTTCCGATGGTTCCCTGGGTGGGCTGGCTGTGAGTGGTAGCGGGTCAAAGTTGTCCCCGTCCCAGATTGTAAAGTGCGGCAACCGCGGAGTTTTGGTGCCTCCGGCGAATAAAAACGGCATCCACGGGATCGGTGTGTTCTCTCCAGCACTATTATCACTGTTAGGGCTCAGGATGTTGGGTGGTTCGTACGTTTGGGGCTGTAGTTTGCCCCGGTAGCGGGGAGCTGGGGGAGAATGCGTCTGCTCCTGAATGCTGCCGACTCCGCCCCTACTCCTCTTTGTTTTTTATCCTTATTTGAAGCATGTATTATAATGGGGAAGTCTTTTCTTTTTTTTTACACTATTTTTATCTTCTATTCTCCAGTGATTCTACTGTAGAAAAGCAACATCCACATACTGTTTCTTTAAAAATGTATAGACAGTCGATCTCTTGTATTAAGTACTTAGACCCTGTGCGATGACCAAAAGTATTTTAACCATATTTTCGCTTAATTTTTTCCCCCTTTCTGTTTTGTTTGTACAGTAATTAACATAAAAAAATTAAACAAGGGTAAAGACATAAATACATTTACACATATTAAAACCTTCTGTTGTAAGAAGGGAAATATGTATATTTGCTCTTCAAATTTTTTTAAAAAATCATCTCTTTTCTTGGGCAAAAACCTCCGCCTTTTGTTTAAGGCGTAAGGAAGAGTGTGGAGCCACTTTATATAGTTTAAAAAATAAATAAATGAAAGAACCAGCACATTTATATATACATATACAAGTATGTACAGCCTTCAACAATTTCAATTTGAAAACAAGAATATTTATCTGCTTTTTCCTATTAATCTTGTTATAGAGGGGAGGAAAGTTGTTCCCTAAATTTAATTAAAACATTATTAGTTTATCTTTCTTTTTCTTTCCTATTGGTATTTATTCTCACTTTCCTTTTTCTTCCCTTTTTTTTTCCCTTCTATTTCTGAGTTCAACTCCTTTATTCTTTCCCTACTTTGGTTTATTTAGACAATGGAATCTTTCTAAAATAATATCATGATCTTGAATTGGTGCTCTGAATGATTTAAACATATTAATCAAATACATTTTGAGATTATCATAGGTAATGGTTTCTGGGATGTTTCTTATTTTCAAATTTCCTCTTCTAGATCTGTCTTCCAAATCATTTATTCTACTTTCCAGTTTTTGCATGTTGATGAATGGATTCTTTTATATCATCTTTTATAGATTCTTGTTCAATATTGAGTTTTTCTATTGTTTATTCATTTATGTTGATTTTTTTATTTTATTATCTGAATCTCTTTTTTTAAATTTTTGCCTTTTTTCAGTTGTAATTGATTGTCTAGGCATTTTTGGAGGAAATCTTGAGTAATGTGGTTTTCACCTTTGGTATGTACTAACGTGTTTGGATTTTATTCTACTGAAGAATTAATATCCTCATTCAGTGCTTTGATTTGGTTTTCTTTAGATGGCTGTGGGGAGAAAAAAAAACAGACATACTTTTTTCAAAAACAATTTCAGGTTCTTTAGGTTTTTCTTTTTTAGTAGCGTTCTTTTTTTGTTGCCATACTATGATCGATTTTGAAGTGTCAAAAAAAATAAAAAAACAGAAAACCCACCCCCAAATGTATAAATAATAAATAAATAAGTGAGTAAACACTGTTTCTTATTTTTTTTGCTTTTATCTTCTTTTTCCTTTTGGTTCTGCGCCAAGTTTTTTAATGGCTACCATATTTTTTGCATTATGTAGCAAAATGCTATGCACTTACATGTTCACATTTTTCAAAATTAATCAGAGAAATTAATATTATTTGACCCTTTATAATTCTTAATGCATCAATACTCTTTTTTTTTGCAAACAACGCTTAAATATACAGAAGTACAATAATTATCATCAATAAAAAAAGTTTTTTTCCTCCTGGGTGAGAGGATGTCAATGAATATACATGTGTAAAGGGAAACCAGCACAAAATATTGATATTCTTGTGATTTTATTTTAAGATTTAGCAATAAACATAACACTTCAGTTCAGTCGATGCCTGATGTGGATTTTTATATTTAATTACATTTTAATAATTTTTTTTAAAGTAAGAGATTTGAGTAACAAAGCAAAAAAAATCCAAACAGACCTAAATTTTATAGAGACCAAAATTTGATTTAAAAAAATACAGTTTACAATGATGCATTTTAGTGCTAATGCTCTTTGAAGTTTAAATCATGAAATTCAAGCTAACCTTTTATATATGTAGTGGAGCATTGTGGTTTATGGCTCAACTGATATATTTGTGATGACTGAGTGGGCTGAGCAGTAGCTATTGGTCTGAGTAAATGTGTGGTAACAATGAGTGCCCACATAATGAGCCTACAGCCCATGAATGATGTCACCTAACTCTGAAATCATGGGGTGAAAAAACTATGGCAGAATAAGTGAATTGTACACACACGGTGTGAATTGCAAATAGAATGCAGAAAAGCAGCTCTAATTGTTGAACAATCCTACATCTAGTAAAATTAGCTAGCAAGACCTTCTGTATTAAATTATAAAACTTGGCATGCTGTGAGCTAACACTGATCACATGTTGTAACCGAGAGGGACAGAGACACTTTCCAGATCAGCATTATTATTGACATTGGTTTGTTCCGATATCACATTTCTCTTTACAGATCTGATATTTCTAGTAGATGTCTTCTTCCTAAAAAATAAAATAGAGTTCTTGATTATATATAATACACCATATATCCATGTATCCATCAAGATAAGAAATAAAGCTTATAAAATATGAAATACAATAAAAAAAATAATATATATGTATTAAGGCAGTTTTGCCTGTATTTGTGGGAGGGGCTTAAATTAATTAACTCCCCTATATAAGGGACACCCCTTACCTGACTCATATGGCTTGAGGTCAGCATCAGAATGATTTCCACTTCCGGGTCATCCAGATGCCATTTTACCTGATTACTCCATGAGGTTTTCTAAGCTGAGCTGTGTCAGGAATCCAGCCACAGGCTTTTCCGGCCTACCACCTTCTTTCTTCAATCCATCGCCGTGGATGGTGTCCAAGTGACTCACAAACCGTAAGTCGACCTACCCGTTACGCCAGGCATCAGTCCCACGGCACCATGCACGGGTCAGGTCCTCACTTTACGGCTGCATTTTGTCTATGTCTGTTCTAAAACCATTGCATGTTCATGCATATCATTCGTTTAAACCCCTACCGGTCTTTGGGTGTACTACAGGCTTCTTAGACATTATTGCATTTCATGTACAAACCAACGAACCACTGCATTTTCGCCTACACACTGACCCCTACCGGTCTTTGGGTGTACTACAGGCTTCTTAGACATTATTGCATTTCATGTACAAACCAACGAACCACTGCATTTTCGCCTACACACTGACCCCTACCGGTCATTCGGTGTACTACCGGCTTCTCAGACATTATTGCATTTCATGAAAAAAACAACCAAACACCGCATTTTCACCTACACACTGACCCCTATCGGTCATTCGGTGTACTACAGGCATCTTAGACGTTTTTTGCATTTTCATGTACAAACCAATAAACCACCTCATTTTCACCTACACACTGACCCCTACCGGTTTTTGGTGTACTACAGGCTTCTTAGACATTATCGCATTTCATGTACAAATAAACGAATCACTGCATTTGCACCTACACACTGACCCCTACTGGTCATTTGGTGTACTACAGGCTTCTCAGACATTATTGCATTTCATGTACAAATCAACGAATCACTGCATTTGTGCCTACACACTGACCCCTACTGGTCATTTAGTGTACTACAGGCTTCTTAGATATTATCGCATTTCATGTACAAATCAACGAACCACTGCATTTGCGCCTACACACTGACCCCTACCGGTCATTCGGTGTACTACGGGCTTCTCAGACATTATTGCATTTCATGTATAAACCAACAAACCACTGCAATTTTCACCTACACACTGACCCCTATCAGTCATTCGGTGTACTACAGGCTTCTTAGACGTTTTTGGCTTTTCATGTACAAAACCATAAACCACTGCATTTTCACCTACACACTGACCCTTACCAGTCATTCAGTGTACTACAGGCTTCTCAGACATTATTGCATTTCATGTACAAACCAACGAACCACTGCATTTGCGCCTACACACTGACCCCTACAGGTCATTCAGTGTACTACAGGCTTTTCAGACATTATTGCATTTCATGTACAAACCAACTAACCACGGCATTTTCACCTACATGCTGACCCCTACCGGTCAATCAGTATACTACAGGCTTCTCAGATTTTATTCCACTTCATAAGCAAACAAACGAACTACAGCATTTTCGCTTTTATACTGACTCCTATCTGTCAAATGGTAGCATTAACCCCTTAAGGACACATGACATGTGTGACGTGTAATGATCCCCTTTTATTCCAGAAGTTTGGTCCTTAAGGGGTTAAAGGGTATTTTAACATACAATCAGCATTTCTGACCCCTACTGGTCAACAGCAAACTGTCTTCACATGTCATATACAATTTACCAGCCAATATAAATTACACATAAGATTGTTTTAAACATAACTATAGACCATAAATTAAACTCCAGCACGGGCTCAACTTCAGGTTTAATTCACAATAATTTACATTTCACATCAAGACCAACAGTGGTTCTATCAACACTGCCACCTACAGGTCTGTCAAGTACATTGACAATTTTCATGGGGTTTTACAAACACCAAAACACTGACACCTATAGGTCAACAGACAAACAACATTTCACATACCAATCAGTATCCAACTACACTGCCACCTATAGGGCACTCGGCAGATCTCCAGTGCACTTGCATTTTGCAACACCATGTTCACTGACCCCTACCATTCAATAAGACATACAACAATTCACATAGCAAGCACTATGTCAACATCTGGTATAAATACATATATTATTACACAGTAGCAGACGCATCTGTATATATGTAACTGGTAATATAGTTCACATACATTTTTCACAGCACGCTGCTCCCGCAACAGACTTCCCCTAGCAAGGGGACATACAACATACAAGGTGGGGACAGACCACATTTTCACTTGTACATACGGCACTTAATGGGTTAAGATTGATACATATTTAACCAGTATGGCTACGATGTTTAATATTTACACATCACAGCACTTTACTTTTCACATATACTGTACGTATTAAGATAAGCTTGGTCTATGCCATATTTCCTTATGCCATACGGTTTTATCCATTCAGGTTACAGTTACTACTAAAAAACCTATACGGATTGTCAGGTTCAATACCATACTACCAGGTACATACACCTGCTCACGTAGTTATCCATCTCTTACCTTCCCTGGAATAGTAATAGTGTACTGGCAATTAGGGTTCTAGGGCCCAATAGGTATTACCCCCTTTTTTCTCTGCATTATGCTTCGGTTAGTGGTCCCGCGAGGCCAACACCCCGCCTCACACTCGGAGGCATACACCCCTCGGGCCACTCGTGAGCTAGTCGCCTCGCATTGTATCATAGAGAGGACCTCACCTGTCACTCCCCTTCCTATTTTCTAGTTACTGTCACCGAGAGGCCAACATCCTGCCACAACGTTCGGTGGCCACACAAAATCCCCTGTTGACCGCGCCAAGCATAGATAGAGCCTCTCAAGCCACTTGGCAACTAGCAGGGCCTCACCAGTCACCAAAAAACACCAAGTCTAATCGTTTCGCCTTACGGCTTAGCTAGCAAGCCAGTACAAGAACCCTGGGTACAAATAATAATTGCAATCTTTATGGTTATTTAAGTATTTCTCAAAAGATGGTGAAGAATCACCTCTTCCTAGCACCCGGCTAGAATTGATACACCTTCAAGCAGAGGAGATGTTGCTAGTCCAGCAGCAATCAGATCCTGGACGATCCCACACATTACCACCGACCTAAGGAGGTGACAAATCCCCTCCCCTGCTACAGCAAGGAAAGCAGTTATTCAAACTCCTCCATACATCAACGGACAACACGGAGGCAGGGGAAGGCCCAGCTACATCAACTCAGGTGACACCCAGGCTATGCTGGCTTCACTCATAAACTCATGAGCCAAAAAATTTATGACAGACTGGCAATCTCGAGTTGGTCACCACAGCCCTCACAAGGCTGGGCCTCACGCTACTGTACAACCAGCACCAACCGAAACTCGGTTACCTGGTACAATCAATTCTTATGACACACAAGATGTTAAACCTGCACGTATGATCCCAGCACATTGGGGAAGCAAGGCATATATATGTATGATGATGTATCTGTGATGGTCAGATCCAGGGATTCCAGGTAAATCGGGAACTGACCATCCCTTGGTTGGGTTGGCATTTGGAATATGTGGAGATGTTTATTTGTGCAGGTACCCATACAGAAGGGATTTTGTCCCAAACAAATGGACGAGCACTCTCAGGCTCCAGGTACCAGCACCTCTGAACTACCAGAGACCACTGATATGAGTAGTTGCATTGCATACAGACTGTTGCATATATGTTCAAATAGTTCAGGGCACATGACAAACCATGTGTCCCAATACAACTTACAAATAACGTATTCACCATCTGTACACACCAATGCATTTTCAACACTACTGACTCATCACCCTTCCAGACTTGTAGTAGATTTACTAAAGCTCTGGAGCTTCAAAGGGCTCCCATACAGGTATCATAAACACACCTTCAAGGAATATAGCATGCCCTCACTTACAGTCAGCACAACAAAACCATTGGCTGTAAACACACTCATAGCCAAGATTTGCAGAGGGGTCTTCCAATCTCCACCATTTACAGCATGGCACCAAACACACACATTGGTATTGTCACAAGGAATCTTCCCTTAAACAAAGACTAACCATGGACTTATTGGTAACACACACCTCCGCTACCCCAAGTCTCAACTCCCTCATACCCTCCGAGGATTTTTCTTACTATACAACACCATTGATCTACCTTTACAGCTATCACTCAAGCATGGGTTGAAGCTTGATTAAGTAAGACCAATATCATCAACGCAGTAAACGGCTACCATCTACCCTACACACTGGCACTTACATGGCATAAATTGGGCAATCCTTTCCCCGCTCAACTTTCGAGCTACAGATTAGCCTACTATCGATATTCGCAGATACTCTGTGCTGGTTATGATAACATATCCAGAGGCCTTACAGTAATACACTATCTAGAAGACTTCTTGTTAATCAAAGAAAGCATATTTTTCACTAGAAGCCTCACGGCAGCTTAGTCTGGTTGACCACTTGGGCGTCCCAGTACCCCATAAGAAACAGAAGGCCCAGACACTATCTTCACATTACTGGGCATATGACTTGAGTCGGCATCCATACATGCAAGTTACCACAAGACAAATAGGGAACATTCTCAACTACATCAATCACTGCCTCCTGCTTAGTACTTACAACTGCAAGGAACTACGATCCCTACCAGGTTCCTTAATTTTGCCATGCTTTCACATCCAGAGTACTTTCCCCTTTTTTCCACACTTCCAACATGACGATCAGAGGAGGTGCCTAGACACCTCAGCAACAGCAGACCTGCACATGGGGGGGGGATTTCTTAACCACTTGGCATGGTAAAAGCATGTTCCTTCCAGGATTGTCTGACACTTCTCCAACCAGATGGTCAGACGCAGCGTATACCACGGGTTTGGCAGCAATCTACCGGGAACAATTGCTTTGGGGCTGTTGGCCATGGCATCCAGGTTTGGAAATTTTTCCACCACTTCAGCCCCTTTGGGAGATCTACCCCATTGTAGCAGCTGCTGTGGCATGGGGTAAATCATGGTCAGGGTCATCAATCCGTTGTTACTCAGACAACTAAGCACATACCATATCATCAACAAACGCCACTACTCATCCATAAGTTCATGATGTTTCTGGGGAACTCACTTGGTTGGCCACTTATCACATTTCACTTTCATGTACCAGACGGGGTATACATCCCTGCCGACAACTGTCTCATTTATATTCCAGGCATGTTCATCATACGCTTCCTACAGCCGCCCATACAGTCACGTCCACTCTTTCGTTCCAGAGACAAATCATGGATTAGACATACTCATGCAGCATAGCATGCACTATCCCACCTAGCACTTTCGTCCCATACTTGTAGAACGCATAACACAGCTTTTCACCTGGCTTAAAGAATCTCATTGGAACACGACATAGCTCAACCTGTGTCACAAAATTTCTCCTAAGTTTTGCTTATTTTTGCCACCTTAAACTTAAACTATCTCATACACCATTAATTATATATTTTACAGGCATTCAACAACACATGATAACCTATGGCCAAAACTACCATAAACTTCATGCTATCATACCAGAAAAGAATATACTCAGAGGTTTTCAGGAATCCATTCCCCCACGTTCCTCTCAGAGATTACCAATAGCCATCCAACTGTTCATCCTTATCAGACCTATTAGATCTACAACCATTCAATTATACTACCAAGTCGGCCATTACCAGCCATGCACATTGCCTTTTATGCCTTTCTCAGGCCAGAGAATCCACTACTATCACCACCACTCAGACAGATCATTGTCTTCAACGATCCCACGTACGTAAACACATATATCATTACCTATTGGCTCTACCACATTCCGAAATGAGTCAACATGCACCAACAGTAGAGATAACATACTATCCTACCCACAACAAATGGTGCCCACTTTCGGTCCTAGATTCCTACCTTCAAAATCCTTTCAGGAATTAAATACTGTAATGCATTTAAGGAAATGTCTGGTTAATTTGTATATATTTGTTGACTGTATTAAATCTTTGATTATTCATTTTTGCCCTCTTTATTTACAGGCCTACCGTATCGTCGGTATCGGCACACCACAACCGACTTGCTCCCTTTACACTATCCTAAGCTTATGCTGGATCCTTACTCCATATACGGCTATTTTGCCCCTTACACAAGTATTAAGGCAGTTTTGCCTGTATTTGTGGGAGGGGCTTAAATTAATTCACTCCCCTATATAAGGGACACCCCTTACCTGACTCATATCGCTTGAGGTCAGCATCAGAATGACCCTCCCACCCACTCCTCATTTCAACACTTTCTCTTTTCTTTCCATTTACTTTACTTTCTTACTCCTTGGTGGGCCCCTCTTTATTTACAGGCCTACCGTATCGTCGGTATCGGCACACCACAACCGACTTGCTCCCTTTACACTATCCTAAGCTTATGCTGGATCCTTACTCCATATACGGCTATTTTGCCCCTTACACAAATATATATATATATATATATTATTGATAAAAGTACCATAGTGCTATGTGGAATTAAGTATAGTGTAGTACATGTGGTAGGCTAAGTGGTCTTAAATCCACTATCCTGACTATTAAGGATTACAGGAAATACAGTATCTTGCCCTCTTATCAGCCAGGTCCACTGGGTCACCAAGCACCTCGGGTTTAAATACCATGCCACCCTACGCTAAAAAAAAAGGACAAGTGGGAGTCTTCTGGGCTACTGCAATAAAAATAAATATTTCTACCTATCTCCATTAGCCATACCACTTTTCCTTATACTCACTGCATCTTAACCCCTTAAGGACAGAGGCAGCTGTCCAACTTCTGAACCAAAACAAAGCCTAGAATTTGTGTTATGTTTTCTCTTCAAGTGCACACAGGGCTGGCGCTTCCTATAAGGCGAACTAGGCAGCCGCCTAGGGCGCCATATAGGAGGGGGCACCCTGCGCCCCCATCGCCGGCCCTTTAAATGCTGCAACTGCCTGAGCGCTCTATAGAGAGTGCTCAGGCGGCTACTGCACTGCCTCTCTCCTCACCTCCCCTTCCTGTAGTGTGGCCGAGCTCCTCTCCGGTCCGCGACCCGGCCGGACTGATGGGAAGTGCACACTCAGAGTGCACTTCCTGTCAGTCCGGCCGGGTACAGGAAACAGAAGCTCCTGTACCGCGGACCGGAAAGGAGCTCGGCCACGCTACAAAGGGAAGGGGAGGTGAGGAGAAGAAGAGAAGATTATGGGGGGGGGGAGTGGAGAAGATTACAGGGAGGGACAGGGAGGAGAGGAGACACAGGGAGGGAGGAGGGGAGAAGAAGAGAAGATTGCAGGGGAGGGAAAAATTATAGGAGGGAGGGAGAAGAAGTGAAAAGTACAGGGGAGGGAGAAGATTACAGGGAAGGAGGAGGGGAGAAGATTACAGGGGAGGAGGAGAAGAAGAAGATTACAGGGGAGGGAGAAGATTACAGGGAGTGAGGGGGGGGGAGAAGACAGAAGAGAAGATTACAGGGGGGAGGAAGAGAAGATTACGGATGGGAGAAGAAGAGATTGGCAGTGAGAAGAAGATTACAGAGAGGAGGGGGGGGGAGAAGAAGAGAAGATTACAGGGGGAAGAAGAGGACAATGGGGAAAGAAGAGGGAGAAATCAATAGGGAGGGGGGGAAGAAGAGGAGAACACATGGAGGGAGGGAGAAGAAGAAAAACAGGGGGAGAAGAAGAGGAGAACACAGGGGAAAGAAGGCCTGAGAGAACAATCGGGAGTGGGGGGAAGAAATGGAGAGAACACAGGGAGGGGGGGAAAAGAAGAGGAGAACACAGGAGTGGGAAGAAGAGGGAGAACAATAGGGGAGAGAGGAGAACACGGGGAGAAGCAAGAAGGTGAGAACACGGTTGGGGAGAAGAAGAGAAGAACACTGGAGGGGGAAGAAGAGGAGGAGAACACGGGGATTTAGAACACATGGAGGGGGGTTTGAGGAGAACGTGGGGGAGGGAGAGACCACTAAAGGAGGGAGAGGGTGGTGGAGAGACCACTAGGGGAGGGGGGTGAGGAGAGACCGCTAAGGGAGGAGGGTGGAGGATAGACCACTAGGGGAGGGTGGGGGGAGAGGAGAGACCACTAATGGAAAGGGTGGGTAGAGGAGAGCAGAGAACACTAAGGTGGAGACGAGAGACCACTAATGGAAAGGGGGGTTAGAGGAGAGACCACTAATGGAAAGGGGAGGTAGAGGAGAGCAGAGACCACTAAGGGTGAGACGAGAGACCACTAATGGAAAGGGGGTTAGAGGAGAGCAGAGACCACTAAGGGGGAGATGAGAGACCACTAATAGAAAGTCGAGGAGAAAAGGAGACCACTAAGGGAGGTGGGGGGGAGGAGAGTGGGACCACTAAGGGACAGGGGAAAAGAAGAGAGACCACTAAGGGGCAGGGGAGATCTCTAAGGGACGGAAGGGAGAGCTCTAGAGGACAGGGAGCATCCCTATACATACTCAAAAACACACAATGCATCCCTTCACACACAGAAACACAACATGCTTCCCTTACAGACAGAGAAACAAACAATGCATCCATTACACACACACACACTGCAACCATTACACATAGAGACAATACATCCTTTGACCACATACACAGAAACACACAATGCATCCCTTACACACACATGCAAACACACACTGCTTCTCTTACACACACACAGAAACACAATGCATCTCTTACCAGTGGCGGATCCAGAGCCTGATCTCGGGAGGGCGCTTGTAGATTATTTAAAGAAATCCAGGCACAATAACCACTACAGCTCAGTGTAGTGCCAGGATCCCATCCTAGAGTAAGTAGTCAAAGCGTTTAAGAACAGTTTGACAACTTACCTGGAGTCTGCTGTGATATAGGGCATAAGAGCAGTGGTATGTGTTAGGGGTGAAGTGTGTGTGAATGGTGCAGTGTGTGTGTGTGTGTGAGCAGTGAAGTGTGTGTGCGAGTGCGTGAGGGCAGCAGTGTATGTCAAGGTTGCAGTGTGTGTGTTAGGGGGCAGTGTATGTGTGGGGGAGAGCTGCAGTGTGTGTGTGAGCGGTGCAGTGTGTGTGTGAGCGG